TGTGGCTGACCCGGGTTCGATTCCCAGCATCCCATATGGTCCCTTGAGCACTTCCAGGAGTAATTCCTGAGTGAAGAGCCAGGAGGAACCCCTGTGCATCGCCGGGTGTGACCCAAAAAGCAAAAAAAAAAAAAAAAGAAGAAGAAGAAGAAGAAGAAGAAAAACTGAGTCCAAGACAAAGAACATGAAGAGTAGAAAAAAGACTAACCCCCAAAGCAGTCAGGCCCTGAGCAACTCCAGAGAACTAACCCTAGGAAACCAAGCCCCTGGAAGATGAGGCCAGGGGCCGTACTAGGAAGGAGCTGCGTGAGAAGGTCTGCTGACCTTGGGGTTACAGACTCCGGTCTGTGCAAATGTGCACACGCGCAAATGAAATGTGTTTTAAAAAAAAGCAAGTAGGAGCAGACCTGCCCCACCTGCAGGATAGTGAGCCCAGAGCCCCATCAGGGAGCGTTCCAGAAGCCCAGAGCTCACACGAGGCTTTGGGGAGAGGTGGCAGGCGGGCCTTGGATGGCTCCTCCACGTCATGAGCCACGTGGGGAGGAAAAAAAAAACACGGGTGCACTGAATTCCACTGTGGAACCCTGCACCGAAGCCGCTCACATGTCAGAAGTACTGAGGAGCTCCGGGGAAACACACACACACACACACACACACACACACACACACACACACACACACACAAAACTTTTGAGTCTCTATTCATACAGTGACTCACCAAAGCAGCATCAACAATTCGGTTTCTTCCCGGGCTGGGAAGAGCCTAAAAAAAAGGGAGAATAACAAAGATCATTGAGGACGGCCTATTTCAACAGTGGCGAGCCATTACCCAAAATAACGACGAAAAAAGGGAAATAAAGGAGGAGGAGGAGGAGAGCAGCGCCCAGAGCTAAAGGGAGGCCAACGGGGACAGACTGTGTAGGAAGTAGCCCCGAGCAGTGCCAGGTGTGCACCCCCTCACCCCTGCACGCACACACACACACACACACACACTCACGTACACTCACACATACACACACACACACTCACGTACACTCACACAAGCACGCACACACACACATACACACTCACGTACACTCACACATACACACACACACTCACGTACACTCACACATACACACACACACACACACTCACGTACACTCACACACACACACACACACACACACGTCAAAAGCTACGGAGAAGAGAACCCCAATGTACATCTCTCTTTCACTGATGACTGATATTTTTATCAGTCAACGGGGTTCTTATCAGTCAATGGGTTTCACCAAGCTTTTGCTTCTGTAGCTAGGAAAACAAAAGCAACTTCAGGGAAAGAACAAATAACCGGATCATAGAACCAGCTCACCCCACAGCCACAAGATTCCCCCTACACGCAATCTACCTGCTGGCCCAAAAAAAAAAAATCAAAATACCAAACTCTCTAACGCAAACTAGGAGAAAGAGAAGACGGAGGAGCCCAGGCCCCGCAGCAGTGACTCCGGAGGCCTGACCAGCCTTTCCTAGCACCCTTGGGGTCAAGAGGGAAACTTAGCATGTTCGGGAGCAAACGAGAAAAGGGGAGGAATAATCACAGCAAAAGATTGGTGAGGACTCTAAAAAAATAAAAACAACCAATCCTTAGGTGCACCAGAGACTTAAAAATATCCTAAAACGTTGAAAGAAATGAAAAGTAAAACAAAAAAAAATCATACCAAATAGTAATAAAAGTCATAGAAATCTATTAGAAATGTCCAAAGACAAGGCAGACAGCTGACAACCGAAGGAAAGGAAGAAAGCATTTGGAATAACGGAGAATGATGTGCGAAAGAGTGGAACCTAGAGCTGACCAGACGGGACGCGTGTGTCCACTCACAAGGACCACCATGAACATGGCTGAGACAAAGGACCGGAGCAGAACCGATGAAGGGACATACCACAGTCGTGGAGCAGAGAAGAGCAGCACAAAGAGAACGGTTCCAAAACAACGGCGAAGCAATGCTATGCCGATCAAAATTCCAAAAGCGTGTTTGTGGGAATCGGTAACTCATTCTAACGTCTGCATTTGTTTTTTTAAATCAAGAAAGCCTAACTATCACCACACCACTTGAAATTCAATCCCGGAGGTGGGAAGATGGGAAGGAGCACTGTTCCGGGAGCCAGAGCACGCAGTGTCTGGGAAGGGGAGCCTCGCCTCGCTTCACACCCCGGCCCTGCTCGGCGACTCCCAGGGAGGACGCCAGAGAGCCCGGCAAACGGTTTCTTGCTGACCTAGGCACGCAACTTAATCAAAACCCGACAAGAAAGCAACTAACGGCGGTATTAATGTGCCTTTACCTGCTGGGTTCTTTCCAGTAAATTAAGCTGTTCGTAACCCAGATGGGACGGGAGGAATTCTTTCAGGATGGGACTATGTGTTATTGATCGCCGGAGCCCCAGGGGCCTCGTCGGGACCAGGTACATAAATTAGACCTTAAATATAATTGCTGGATGCTGATTTAAGAGTACACGCTGAATCCAATAACTGGTGGGCCGACACTGCCGGATTCTAATGAAAGTGTTTAGTTTTAATCAACAAAGGCAATCTTGGGCTGTGTACTTTTTAAGGGCAGACTGACACAGTCTCTTTCTTCCTCGTGTTTGTTCTAACATCCCCACATCCTGGGCTTTAAATAAAACTCAGGCTACTGATGCCGAAAATATTGCCAAGGAGATAAACTCATATTTCTCCTGTTTCCGTATAAAATGTGCCTTAGTCTAATACGGCTGTAGAAAGACGTGGTCACCAATTCTCACAGGTTCGATCGAAAAAGGTATTTCCTACAAACATAAAGATAGACGCTGCACTGATAATTACCCCCTTTCAAAGATTTGAGTCTGAAATATACAAAGTTTCTATACCTTCTTAAAAGTTTTACAAAACGCAACCAAAAAAAAATAAAAAGTCAATGTGCAACTGGAAGGTTCAACAGTGTCTACGATTAAACACCAGCGAGCTCTGAGCCCCCTCAGAACCAGCAGAGTGGCGCATGGACCCACGAAGATACGAGACACAAAGATACAAGACACACACAGACACACAGACACACACCCTCTGATTATAAATCCCTTCCTATTAAGAGATGAAATGCTAATTTCTCAAAGCAGGGCCTGTCCTTGCACAGAATCTCCACTGTGTCAGCATGCGGGGTTCTGCCTCTGACTTAGATGTGGTTATTAAAATCTATTTGGAGAAAATGTGTGTGTGTGGGGGGGGGAGACTTTGACTAGCTCTAACTCACCATAGAAAAAAGACCAAATGGCAACAGAACGACGACTCATCTATGTCATCTACAGTTATACGCTAGTGAGTGGTTCCAAGACCTTGCCAGACCTTAACTCACTCATTTCTTGTAGTAGGAGAAACAGTGCTGGGGGGAGTAAGGGGAGGGGAGAGCAGCAGCCAATAGAGAAAGGCTCTATCGGGGTTCACCCCCCCATCCTCACCCCCAGGGAAGCTTTATACATGGGAGGTATGATCCGACAGGACACCTCCAGCTGCCTGAACTAACCAAGGACACACGACAACGATCAGGTCACAGATGTCAGCTCTGCAGCAAACTGCACTGCTCAGCTAAAGGGAGCCGACCCGCAGACAGCAGACCCCGACAGACCCGCAGACACAGACAAAGACCCCAACAGACCCGCAGACAGACCCCGATAGATCCGCAGACAGCAGACCCCGACAGACGCACGGACACAGACCCCGACAGACCCACAGACAGCAGACCCTCTGGGCATCCCGAGAGCGACCCGCACCCACCACACCCTCCCGGCACAGCCCCGACAGACCCGCACAGCCGGGCTGGCACAGGCAGCCTCGGGGCATCAGAGAGCGGCGGAGAGACGGCACAAAGCCCACCGTGAACACCCACAGAGGGAAACTGTTCTGAGCAAGAACACACACGCGTCAACAGGAAGTCTGGACTGACGCCCCACCACACACTCTCATTCCCGTTGTGTGGCCTTCCGTTCAAAGCTGGCCTGGAAAGGTGACGCTAATTATACTTAAGCACAGATTGAAACAAAACCCGAGGAAAAGGCCCATGGAGATGCAAGTGGAATAACGGAGGTTCTGTGACAAACTACGTAGCCCTCATTAAAATAATCAAACTCATGATGCAATTTCAAAATGTCTATCTTCTTCATAAGTTATAAGCCATTGAAATCCTTTCATATACAGCTTATTTTTAAAGAAATTTAAAAATGTTAACCCTTTTTCTTATAGCCTGGAATAGGTGATTTCCAGAGGAACGTATTAGAATTTAAAGAGGTAACAGTAAAAACGGTCACTAATGTAAAAATTTTTTTTCTTCGAGAGGTAATTTTTCAATATTAGATAGGACACAATTATTATCATTTGACCACCAAAAATAACCAACAAATAAAGTTAACATATACCTATAAAATCTAAATATACCAACATATTTCAAACCATGAAGTTCATTACTTAACATTCCTGTCCAAAAATAAATCTTACGTGCAGATACAATTTTAAGGGCAGATCTATTTCCTTAAGAGTAAATTAATGTTCAATAGGTAAACATGCCACACCCATAAGCAGGGACACATCCAAATGGCAGTTTTCAAGTAATTCTTTGAACCGCCTAGTTTTCAAACGGTAAACACACTCTAGCCCCACGAACAAGGAAAGCTGTGGGCCGGGTCCCAGTCAGAGATGACAAGGGCGGAGAACGCCCGGACCAAGCGTGACCCCGTCAGACTTCCGTCCCACGCGTCTCGCTAGAAAACTCCCGAACTGCTACCAGACACAAGAAATACATACCCATTTTACTACAATGGCATCTACGTGTTTCTGTATGACAGTGTGCCGTTACAGAATGGTGATGATAAACATTTCATTACCTAGCAATCTGCTATTATCTCTTTATCGACTACTGATTTAATTTCTAACACTTAGCATTTGCCGCGATTAAGAGCACGAGAAGCCCAAAGGATAATTCAGTAATAAAATTCACCTTTGTTATGGTTTTTGCTTTCAAACCTCCGTTCTCCACAACACTGAGGTCCAGTTTGCCATCGTCCTTACTTCCTATAGCTTTAAGTCCTTGCAAAAGAATATCGCGTAGATTTTGATAAAGAGGTTTCTCAGCATAGTCCAGGAATTTCACTGTTTCCAAGTATTTAGCAATTTCACCTAAAGGAGTAACACAATTTTGCAATTCTTTTAAATCACATTTACGATAGATTTACTTCTTACTTCTAGAAAAGAATTCATGGTTCTAATAAAATTAGACAGCAAACACAATCTTGTTTGTTTTTTTCAATAGGAAGTGCTGAACTCAGGAGGTGTTGGGTAAGTCAAATAAAAATTGTATTTGAGATACAGTGTAAAAACACTTCTGTAATTATGGGACACAGTAAGATAGACGACAACCTTAAAATTTAAATATGTACAGAAATAACGGCTGTAGTTTTAAGACTATAAAAAAAATACAAAAGGAACTAGAATAAAGATCATGAAGCAAATTGTCCTGAAGTACACGAATTTAAGAGCCAATATTTTTTGCCAAGAAAGTCATTAGTTGTACAAAAGATAGCAGCACACTCTGTGTAAATGAAACGTACCGAAAACAAGCTGAAAGGAGGAGAAAGAAGAAAGACCTGGTCTGTCCACAGAAGAGAAAAACCAGTTTCTGAATGTTAAATGTTCACTGAGGCAAAATCGTATCCATGAAAAGAAACCTTACTAGTCAAGAACAACACCTGTCAAGGGAAGATCGCATCTCTGGAGACAGGCACTCTGGTGAGGGTGTGGTGTCGGAACGATGCGTGCACAGAAAGTTTAATCAATAGTATTGTAAATCCTGGTACCTCGATAAAAACGTTTTATAAAAAAAAAAAATGCACCTTTCAAGTCCCACCGACATATATGCTCCATCTTATCTTTGTCCAATGAGCTCATACTGGCTCATACATGGGCTCTTGGGTATATGACCGTTACTCAAATCCCAAGCACTAAACCTGCCTCTTTGCACCTTCCAGGGGCGGGTCACTGATAATTGGAGCTCCTCGGTCACTGCTCTCCTCTTCCCACAGCCCAGGCCAGTGAATTCAAAGACCTTAGAGAGCTCCCTCCCTCCCTCCCTCCCTCCCTCCCCATCTCCCTCCCCTAGAGACAAGGAAAAAGACAAAAAAAATCCTTACAAGTTTCTTCACAGGATGAAAGGGTTCTATAGAAAACTAAAAGCAAACATCACTAAGCATGTAAAATACTGAACACTCGCACTTGGAGAGAAGAAAACAGCAAGGCTGTCCACTTTCATCACCTCTCACCAGTGTGACAGCAATCTCCACTTTTGCCGATACAGTAAGGCAAAACAGGCAACAGAGTGACACGAAAGGTGTAAACGTTAATTCACTAATGAGAGAGTTTATGTGGAAAGCCTCAGGGGAGGGGCCTGAGCAATGGTACAACAGGTTGGGCATCTGCCTTGCACACAACCGACCCGGGTTCAATCCTCAGCACCCACAGGGTCCCCCGAGGCCCACCAGGAGTGACCCCAAGCACCAGTGGGTGTGGTCCAAAAACGTCCCAATAATTTAAAGGGAACCCAAGGGATGTGCAAAATCCTCCTAGGAATGTGACTGAAAGACTTAGTAACACAAGTTCGTCTGATGCTGACCAGTGCCGGACACTGCAAACTCACTCTCATCCTGGCGCACCGGGAAGGGGGTGTGTGGAACCGACAGGTGACTAACATTCGCACGGACACAGACAAAGCTAAGCAGAGCCGAAGAGCAAAGTACAAAGGCACCAAGCACGAGCAGGAACAACCCTGACTGAAACAGAAAACCCAAGGCTGTGACCCCCTCTGGCTCTCTCACCGGCCGGGATCCAGAGACTCGGAAATAAATCTCCAAAGAGACCAAGAAATCTCAGAGATTCTTCTGGACCCCGAGCAAAGCTGAGTCACCCGGGGCAGCCCAGAGGGGTGGGTGAGTCCAGCCCCCGCCCAGACAGAGCGCTGACAGCCAAAACCCTCCACACTCCACACTAGCTGCCATGCTCACGGCCAGACTCCAGTGTTTGGGACAAGCCAGGTGTGTCAGTTTTGTGACTGAAATCTCCTGGCTTTCACTGAGTCCGGGATGGGCTACCTCCCCCCCATCTCCCTGTATTTCCAGAAGCCCCGGCAGTCATACACACACCCCCAAAACACCACCCGGTTAAAAAATTATCTCCAGTTGTATCATGTTAAAAATTCTGGACTGAGGGCTGGAGCGATAGCACAGCAGGTAGGGCGTTTGCCTTGCACACAGCCAACATGGCCGACCCGGGTTCGATTCCCAGCATCCCATATGGTCCCCCGAGCACTGCCAGGAGTAATTCCTGAGTGCATGAGCCAGGAGTAATCCCTGAGCATCGCCGGGTGTGACCCAAAATGCAAAAAAAAAAAAAAAATCTGGACTTCCTGGAGTGACATCTCAAACTCTACAACACCTATAAGCCAGGAGCAGCACACCAGATTGGATGGGAGGCAACACAGAAGGCATCCAATCTCGATTAACAAAAGATCAAGCCAGAAGTCTTAATCTGTAACTGCACTTTCTTAATCTTTTATACAAGGGCTTAATCGCTCCATGGTGAGATACACAATCCTGACTAGCTTTCTTCGGAGGAAACATTATTCGATCTTTTTTTTTTCCAGCAAATTATTAACAAGCAATAAAAAAATAAATCACTGGGGGCCTGCAATGGGGACAGGCTTAAGGGTGGTTGGGAAAATCAGAACTACTGGTGGTGGGAAGGAGTGACGGCAGTGAGGTTGGTGTTGCACTAGCGAACGCCGCAACAAATCATCAGGAACAACTTTGTAAACCACAGTGTTTATATAAGGTGTAAAGGAAAAATAAATTTAAAGAAAAAAGAAAAACACAAACCCAAAGCCATTAGAATGACTTAAAACCTACCTTAAACTGGGGTTAGCAACCTCACGAGGTCACACAACCAAATAAGGAGATGGTGACAAGTGCAAAACACTGTAGCACTGCCCTCCCGTTGTTCATCGATTTGCTCGAGTGGGCCCAGTAACATCTCCATCATGAGACTTGTTGTTACTGTGTTTGGCATATCGAATACGTCACGGGGAGCTTGCCAGGCTTTGCCGTGCGGGCGAGACACTCTCGGTAGCTTGCTGGGCTCTCCGAGAGGGGCTGAGGAATCGAATCCAGGTCGACCATGTTGGCTGTGTGCAAGGCAAACGTCCTACCGCTGGGCTACTGCTCCAGCCCAATGCAAAACAAGTGCTTTAAAATAAACTTATGCTATACTATCAGTGAATGTCTGATTTTTATATACCTACATAGATGGGGTCACATGAAAATTTTCAGATGAGTGAGGAAAGTTTAAAACACCCAGACCTGGGGCTGGAGAGACAGCACAGCAGGTAGGGCATTTGCCTTGCACACAGCCAACCCAGGTTCGATTTCCAGCATCCCATATGGTCCCTCGAGCACCGCCAGGAGCAATTCCTGAGTGCAGAGCCAGGAGGAACCCCTGTGCATCACAGGGTGTGACCCAAAAAGAGAAAAAAAAAAGAAAAAGAAAAAATCTGGGCCTGAAAAATAAGCCTTCCTCCAACTCACAGGGCACTGGGTGTCTCCCGGATGGGGCCATGGCACGTGGTTAAGGGCACGCCTCTGAGGTGGACACTCCTCAGTTGGCCCCGACCCCCTCCCCGGGGCAGCCACCGACAGCAGCGTCCTGGCTAAGGCTGTCCCCGAGACACACTACTGACAATTCCACTCCCGCTTCAGATACACAAACCCACACCCCTGCTTCCTGTCTCCAGCGAGATGTTGAGTGAGGACCGGGATTCTGTCCGCTTCGAGAGCAGATCCCAAGAACAGTCAAAGGAGTGAGTCGAGTCCTTCCCAAGAGCACCCAAGGAAGCTCCACTCACATAGCTCACTTTCAGAAAACTCTTGAAGAGAGAAGGGTCACTAGCATGATTACACTCAACACTACCTACCCAGGGGCTGGAGCGCGGCACAGCTGCCGGGGGCGCGTGCCTCACACACAGCCAACCTGGGCTCCATTTGCCACCTCCATCCCCACCCCCACCGCCCCCAAAACCCTACATTCTTACATGAAGGGATTTTCCACAGATACCCTAGAATTCTTTCAGAAAACAAAATCCTTATTGAATATTTATGAACATTTAGGACGCATTTTCCTACCTGGCTTGTTTTTCCCAGGAAAACATTTGTCCATCAAACTTGCAATATTTTCTCTGTATCTGTTAAAAATTAAAGAACGAGTTACTGCTTGAAGCCCGATGCCACAGAAATTTGTCAATATTTAATAACAGTAAACAGCACATTAAGCAACAATGCCGTACATTCTGAATGTGCTCCTAGACCTTCTTCCGAGATAAAATGAAGGAAAGACTTGTCACCGCCTAGTAAGTACCTCGTTTCCACATCAGTCCTGGTTAAATCCACAATTCCTATCAAGAAACCCTGACGCAAACACGTCTGTCTGACCACAATTTGGTCCCAATAGTTTAGCACAAGTTTTCCGTTACCTAATTTTGGAGTCTCTAACGTAGTTGGGGTCTTTCAAATTGTCCTCCCAAGGAAGGTGGCCACTCAGCCACTGGACCATGCAGTAACCAAGTATCTCCAAGTCACCACGTCTTGATGGGGCTACGGATACAGAAGAGGCAGGTCAAGCCCACTCACACAAGAGTTAGGGAGGAAGTGCAAGTATACACAAAGCAATACGGTAAAAACGGCCACCGTCGTGGTCTTTTGTATCATAAAATTCTGACTGCATTCAAGAAAAGGACTGAATGAACGTTGGGCAGCATAAGAAAAATAATTGACCCCCAACTAATCATTGGCTTTAAAACTCAAACTGGCGTACTCAAGAGTTTCAAACCGAGACGATTAGTCTGAGGAATAAAATATAAAACAATGACACATCTAATTTTGCCCTTGGAAATCCTAAAGATATTAAAAAAGCTAGCGCTCGTATGAGGCCTTCAAAATTGGGTTTTAGTTCCTGTAAAATGCTGGGCCTGGGAAAAAACAAATGAGGAGCAAGAGGCTCATTCAAGAGGCAAAAATATAAAGTATGCCGGTTACAAAGTTGCAAATTCACAGAAACTTGGGGCTTTTAGGGAGAAACTCCCCTCCCGGCATTCTGATAAAGCTCAATGAAACCAAAGCTGTCCTCATGCAGTGACTTAGCCGGGCTTCAGGGCTAAGGCCCTGGTCATCTGGGGCGCAGGCAGGGCCCCCTGGCCCACCGGGGCGCGTGCAGCCTCCTCCATCCTTCACTGGCCCCCGGGGCTCCTGAGCTCTTATTCGCTGACTGGAGCAGATCTAAGGACCGACAGGAATCCTGCCGGAAGCGGACGTACCCACGCCGTTGTGTGCGTCGATGCTGGTGAACTCCAAGGTGCCGTCGTGGCATCTCTTCGGGTCCTCCTTGTACTCCTTGTGGATCCCTTCCGGGCAGTAGCGATAGGCAAGGCCATAGTCGACCAAGTACACCTACAAATTCCCAAATGCCAGAACCGATTACAGTCGGACCGACGGCACAGGAACTCGTTCACGCCCCCGAAACAAAACAGTTACTTGAAGCTGGATCCTCTGCAAGGCCACGCCACGGCCCTCCCCACAAGTCAGACACGACATGCCAACAAAAGCAAACACTTCTTTCCCAAACACTTTTTTTTTTGGCTTTTTGGGTCACACCCAGCAATGCTCAGGGGTTCCTCCTGGCTCATGCACTCGGGAGTCACTCCTGGTGGTGCTCGGGGGACCATATGGGATGCTGGGAATCGAACCTGGGTCGGCCGCGTGCAAGGCAAACGCCCTACCCACTGTGCTATCACTCCATCCCCAACACTTTTTTTGGAAGGAAGGAAGGAAAGAAGGAAGGAAGGAAGGAAGGAAGGAAGGAAGGAAGGAAGGACGGACGGACACATGCTCCAAGAGCCCATGGCTCTAGTCTAGCTCAGCATGTCCAACGGGCTGAGGGGTGGGGCGATACGCCCCCACCGTGGGCTTCCACTTGAGAACTGCACAAACAGGATGGGACGGGGTGATGAGGAGCAAACGGGAGAAACGCTGGCCTAGTCAACTGCGCACACTCCTCACGACCCCATCCACCTCCTCCACCACAGGAGACGTCTCCTCCACTTGAGCAAGAAGGGTGGACCCTAAAATCTCTGTCAGAGTTAAAACAAAACTGAGCATGGAATAAATCATAGATACCGTGTGCAATACACCTGCCGCCGGCTGACACAGACAGCTAACAAGGACAGGACGACGCGGGTCCCTTCCTCCCGTCCCTCCCTGCCTCACTTCTATTTAAATACCAACGCAATGAGACTAGTTCATAAACTGGAATGGTGACCTAAAGAACGTTAAGTGAAGCTCTTACACTCGCATATCTGTGTGCCGTGTTAGCACAGAGCCAGAATCTGGTCTGCTTCTGTTCCAAAGCGACATGTGACGCCTCTGATTCTCGTGGGCTGTCCCCACACGTTTGAGTGTGGCCACAAGAGGGAACAGAGGGGAAGGCGTTTCACACCAACAAAAGCAACTAAGAACGGAAACCAGTTGCTTATCCCTTTATCATTATATGGTGCAAATCTGGGCTACCTCGATCAATGGACACCTGTCTTGGAGATTCTTAGCTGCTGGTTTTTAATCTACACGTATTTAAAACGGAAACAGCCGCAAGTCCTGGGACCGGCTTGCTGATTCTGTCAGGATGCAACAGCGGAGCCTCTTCCCTCTGCTGGATCTAGAGCCCGCACGACGGAGAGAGGGAGAAAAGCACCTGCACGTGATGATGCCGGCAAACAAAAGAGCCCCAGGGAAAAGGAGGCCCTGAGCACGAGGGCGGGCGGAAGTCACATTCCGAGCAATGAAACCCGGAACCCTGAGGCAAGCATACAGTATCGGGGTCTTCCTCCATCACACGCGACCCAGCACAAGTGAGCTTGGAAGCGCAAAGTGACGCCCTACAGCCCAGCTGTGACATCACCAGAGTCACCGGCAGAGCGGCAGGCGACCGCGTATCCCCACCATCCCCACCACAATGACCCGAAGGAGGGCGGAGCGGTAAGCTTTTCTCCTGTCCTCAAAAAAGTGAAAATTACAAAGCAAATGTAATGCACATTTGAATTCCAAACACCGAGGGCATACAAATTTAGACAGCTCAGATATTTCTGTAAACCAACTGATTTGAATAATCAACATGTGAAAGACCGAATTTTCCAAGTAATAGAACACTTATATTTGACGGATTTCTTGAACAAAGGAAATAAAAAAAATGACAAAGCAGACAGGCAAACATAATTCATTGGTGCACTATATAATTTTAAGCTTCCACCCCCAAATAGCTATTTGAAATTCATTTTGTATCACGAGCACTTCTTCTGAATATTATTTAGGGCAAAATAGCCAGCTTGATAAAGTGCCAACAAATCGCATCAGAACGAGAATGTTAACGAGATAAAAGTGTCAGGAAGAGATATCATCATCACCATTATCTATCTCAAAAAGTGAAACTTCTTTGGGGGTTCAAAAGTTCAACGGAGCCCTATTTGTTTCCCAACAACAGGTCTCAAGCAGGAGAAACGGAAGCTGCGAACAGTACCTGGTCGGGGTTTTTGGTGCTCAGCAGGAGGTTCGAGGCCTTGATATCGCCGTGCACGTACTCATGCTCGTGGATATATTCCAGAATATCCAGCTACGAAAGCGGCACACAGAGTTAGTCAGCGCAGTACCCCACACCGACCAGCAGAGGGCCAAACGGACCGCAGCCAGCCCTTCCCGGGTCACGCACGAGAGTGGGGCTCACATACGATTCTCAAGCTCAGCTGCAAGACGGTTTTCCGAGAGAACCTTTTGGCACTGGCTTCATAGATCTTCTGAAGGTCACTCCCAAAGCGGTCCATTATCATGAACCTGTAACTGAAGACAAACAGGGAGGTCAGCGAAGGAAACAGAACGCGGGAAAACCTCCCGTGTGGAGGCAGAGAGCGACGCTGACACACGGAAACCGTGCCCTGTCCTCGGCGGCGGCAGGGCTCAGAGCCCTGCGAGGTCCTGCCCAGGGCCGCCCAACAGACTCGCCCCCAGCACAGCAGGAGTGGGAAGGCCAGGGCCTCTCCTCCCCCAGCTCTGCGGTGGCGGCCTGCCTATTTCTCTATTTCACGGCACACTTGAGCAGTACTGGCCGCCCTAAAGCCAAGGAAGAGTGTGCGTACAAAACCAGACAGGTTCCTGCTTCTGTAGCCTTCTGAAAATTTGAACACCAAAAAGACCGCCAAGCGATATCCCAGCCATCAATGATTCATAAAGCTGCTTAAAAGAATTGTACGTTAAGTGCTCACCTGCCAACATCTGGAGAAGAGATAACCCAGAAAATCATAATGACCTTGGCTTCATCACAAATGATGTTGTCACCTTGGCCAAGCCGGGTCACTCCCGTGGGCCCCGGTGTCCACAGGAGCACGTGCGTGCTGGCCGGGGCCCCATCTGTCAGGGTCCCCCCAGTTCACCCAGCAGCCCCGCAGGAAGACCCCGTTCCACTTACTCAAGTCTCCCACACTCGGGTCAAACCACTCGGTGAGCCACTAGAAACCAGCCACGCAATCACCCCCGTGCAGGGACCTGCCCGCCACCGCCACACCGCCACCCTCATCCCTACAGCCCTGGCAACTGTCCAAGGAAGCGCGGACAGAGCGCTGAACGCCATCCGACGCCAAGTATGCACTGTTAGGAGACAAACACCCGTTTACCTATGTGATGACTGGCTATGGTAAGAATAAAACATGGTGGGCTGGAACAATATTATAGCGGGGAGGGTGTTTGCCTTGCACGCGACCGGCCCAGGGTTCGATCCCTGGCATCCCCTAAGGTCCCCAAGCACTGCCAGGAGTAATTTCTGAGTGCAGAACCAGGAGTCACTCCTGAGCGTGGCGAGATGTGGCCCAAAAGGCCAATCAATCAACCAATCAATAAAACGTGGCAAGTTCAATAGGAAAGACGATCCGACATCCCAAGGCAGTATGCCGGGGTTGGAGCACCACGGCAGCAGGCTTGCCTTGCGAACAGTGGACCCCAGCTGGGTCTCCGGCAGCACCAAACATGGTCCCTCAAGCCCACCAGGAGTGACCCCTGAGTGCAGTCAGGAGGAAGCCCTGAGCACCGCTGGGTGTGACCCAAGAAGGAAAAACAAAACACAACACGCCAGATTTTTTAAAAATCAGGATTCTGGGGCTGGAGAGATAGCACAGCGGGAAGGGCATTTGCCTTGCATGCAGCCAACCCGGGTTCGATTCCCAGCATCCCATAGGGTCCCCTGAGCACCTCCAGGAGTAATTCCTGAGTGCAGAGCCAGGAGTAACCCCTGAGCTTCGCTGGGTGTGACCCAAAAAGCAAAATAAATATATAAATAAATAAATAAATCAGGATTCTATCCAATCCTAACTAGGAGTGAGTCAGAGATCATCTGGCCTCAAATCTTTGAACAAATAAAAAGAATCACTGGTGGGGGGTGGGGATGAAGTGAGTCGTTCAAAGCCACGCAATTAGTCAGTGGGAAAATGCATTTACTCTTCACAGCCTCCAGGATACGAAACTCTCAGGTGAGGGAGGGAAGAGAGATCCGGACTCCCTGGTCCTCTGGGGAAACGCCTGAAACGGTGCGGGATGGGACGGGAACACGGGCCCAGGATGCCTTCCCAGCGGGCGACGCGTATGATTATTACAAAACAATACGCGGAGAATAAAACACCACCTTCCCGACATGCCAAGCAGGGCGAGAGGCTTGCTTAATCCGGCCGGGGCTCTATTAACACACCCCGTTCCGCAGAGCTTTGTTCTTATTCACTGATCACTCCACCACTTTGCGAAACAATCCCTTAATGGCCTCCCCACTCCGGAATTACACTCCTCTGTACCACTGAGCAGAAAAATGAAAGTTATTTCTAAGTAACCCCTCTCGAGTCAAGCCCGCTATGTGCACTTTCCTGGGGACTTGGATAAAATGATGCAAATCATGGAAAAATGGAAGTCAGGATAAATGATTTAATCATGGTAATAATCACGAGCAGTTTCACGATCCTTACGCCGTTCGAAACGCCACACACACGTTAATTCAAAGTCAAAGGGAAAACTAAGGACTCCTCGCGGGGAAGGTAGACGGAGAGACCGCTCAAAATACGGGCGACTTCTGCCCAAAGAACGACAGCGATCGTGTTTTGAAGAGCTTCAAACCGGTGATGCTCCGGAGAGTCTGCCTGAAGGAGACGCTTCCGGGCACCTCATGTCGAGGCAGAGACGGGCTGGGCCGTGCTCATACGTGTCCCGCCCCTCCTGGGCCCATCGATGCGTGCACAATGTGACCCCTCTCTCGACCCCTCTCCTCACAGTGCACCCCTGCTTAGCCAGCCGTGTTTCAGCATGAAGCAGGGGGTGAGAAGGTCTCAGGGGAAACGCCCCCACCTTGCCAGGAAGGCCTGAGTGCATCTGTTCTAGAAGGTTCCCTAGCAGACTGTGGGCGCCTTGCTCTGACAGTTTCCTCTTCATCTCCGCAATGACTGTGAGCTATGCACCGTTGATCCGGTCTCGTGGCGAGGAGGTGGGGAGACGCTGGGTCACTGTCTCAGCGCAGCGCTGCCCCGAAGATCACATAGCCCTGGGTGCAGGTGCTCCTGGCTCGGCAGCTGGCACAGGCCTCAAGCACAGGACCCCACAGAAAGGAGGCACCTGCCCTTGGCGGCTACTGGGGCGTGGAGGAGCGGAAGCCAACAGGCTCCTCGCGGAGACACCCCCGCACGGCCCGGGGCGAGGTCACGGCTGGGGCTGCCCGGCCGCCTCCATGCAACACTGCACCTGAAACCGGGAAAAGCAAACCAAGGCGCATCCCTTACCTTTTGCCGTTCTTCTCGTGAAGGCCGGAGCCCCAGTACTTAGGCACGCCCAGGTACTTCAGTTTGTGGGCGCGGATCCACTTCTGAACTACAAATCAAAGCAGATGTGCGTGACTTCAGGTCTGCTGCACATAAGCCACGTTTTGTTTTCTTTTTTTTTTTTTTTTTTATTTAAAGTTTTTTTTTTTTCCCCTTTATTTTATTTTATTTTTTTAAAGTTGTAGATTTACAATTTTTTGTGCTTTGGTTTCAATTATACAATGATCAGATACCCATCCCTCCACCAGTGCCCATTTTCCACCACCATGGATAATATCCCTCCCACCCCCATCCCCCCATCCCCCCGTCTCTGTGGCAGGGCAATCCCCTGTGTTCTCTCTCTCCTTTTGGGTGTTGTGGTCTGCAAAAGAGGCATTGAGTGGCAAACATTTTCTTTTAAATGGAATCACCAGGAGATGCAGTTACAAAGCTGTTCATGGTCAGGTTTTGGCCACACGGTATTCCAAGCCCCGTCCCTCCACCAGTGCACATTTCCCCACAGCAGTTTTTAATCAGCAACTGCAGAATACACCGATGATATTTCACTTTACACACTGGAAAGGAAGTGTACGGTGCATGATGGCCAAAGAATGAAAACTCCTCCAACACAATATTTGACTAAGAAATTTTCTTCTGTCCTAAACATTGTCTTTAAAATAAAAAATGTGCAGTTATCCAATTCCACAGCAGCACCCAAAAGCTGAGAGAGAATAGGAGGGAGTGACCTGCCACAGAGGCAGGGTGGGATGGGAGGATGGGGGGTGGGAGGGATAGTGGGATCCGTGGTGGTGGAGAATGGGCACTGGTGGAGGGATGGGTATTCGATCATTGTATAACTGAAATCCAAGCACAAAGATTTGTAAGTCTACAACTGTACCTCATGGTGTTTCACTAATAAAAATTTTTAAAAAATGTGCAGACCAAGTTCTGCATTGGCAATTAATATCTAATCATATAAACATTGACTTGCTTCCACGGGGTACTTATTTTTTTTATGTAAACCTATAAGGTTTTTACCTAAATCTAAATGCCTTCAAAGGACACCGAGCTCGGGGAGGACGGAAGCCCTGAAAGAGGACCCGCGGGCAGTGTGTGTGTGTGTGTGTGTGTGTGTGTGTGTGTGTGGCGGGGGGAGAGCAACCCGGGAGGGGTCTTCCGTAGTTGGCTCTTTTTTCTCAACTATGGGCATTTTCCGGTTTTGTTCTCCAGGGTCTAGAAAAGTTTACCCCCAAAGATCCGGAAAACGCTGAGACAAACTCAGGAACTAGAATGGATTCTCCAGGTGGGGGGCAGGGGGTGCCCCCAGACCAGCTAGTGCTGGAGGGCCCCTCCGTGCCCAGGGAGGATGTGGCACTATCACTTCCAGATCTTGTTCTCAATGTTAACACTATTACCTGCATCTTGTTTGGAATCTATTAGCATTTATCCTAGACACCGATATGCGTGAAATCGCAAACGCATCATAGAGGCAGTTCACTATCTTGGAGCCGGACAGTTGACTACCTAGCGAGAACCTGCTTTCGTGTGGCTGGCCTGGGTTCAATTCCCAGCACTGCATGAAGCTCCCCAGCCCGCGAGCGTGATCCCTGGGCAGAGCAAGGAGTAAGCCCTAAGCACTGCTGGGGAGGAGCCCCCAAACTTAAAACACCGAGAGACTGGATATGCAGTTCTTCCAGGAGTAAGGAAACAGAACCTGTCTACGAAGTCGAAATTCACAAACTCAGAGGCTGGGGGGCCACCCAAGGTCCAGAGATGCACGCCTGGTATGGTCAAGACCCAAATTCAACCCCTGGCACCGCCGAGCCCAGCCCTGGAGGCGCCGACACCAGGAGCCAATGGAGCACTGCCCCGTGCTGGCGGGCAACGCCCCCATGGGAGTCGCCGGGAGCCCTGTGCAGTGCTCCCGAGGCCACTCAGAAAAACAGGGCACAGGCGGGAACTGTGAAACACAAAGCCCGGGCGCAGCTCACACACACAGGCACGCATCTGACGCGGGAAACGTGTGAAACACAATTCTTACTTTGCTCCGCTTTGGCAGCTCGCTGGTAGAATTTTAATTCGGTAAAAAGAGGTCCATTATCGCTGGGCTCCTAAAACACAGAAGATGATTAGGGCTAAAAGTACTGAAAGCGACTGAGCTTTCAGTGAACCTTCAAGGGGATAAACAGACCAATTTTTCTTTTCGAGTAATATTTTTAATACGCAGTTTGTAAGTACGTGTCAGCGATAGCTCGATTCTTTAGGATGCTTTTTAGATATTCTCCGAGTGGCCCGCGAATCCCATCTCCCCACCGGGTTCCAGGTCTGTACAGAGTCTGCCCACCGCACACAAGAGCCACATGGAGCTCACAGGAAAAGGCAGGGGCACAGCGTGGGCAAAGGCCCGTCCGAAAGCCTCTGAACTCAGTCTTCTCAGTGTCGCTTGAGCCAAGCAAAGGTCAGCGACCCTGCTGGCTATCGCGAGCGGGCACCCAGTCTTCTGAGATTTAATCAGATCCCACTGCCTGACTTAAACCATCAATGGCAAAGTGACAATCCCCGTCCGTGGCTCCTTGCGGAATCTTGCCAATCAGAAGAGGGGGAACGTTCTGGAACGGCAGAGCACAGCCGCCCCTCCACCTAAGGGGCCCCCTTCCTGACCCTCACTCCTGCGCTCTCCAAAGCAGAGTCGTGCCGTTGCTTCCCGTGCGAGAACTGTCCTGCTCTGACTAGGGGCACACCCCGAGGTGCCACACGGCCACTCCTGTCCCTCGCTCTGGAACCAGCCCAGGCCCTGGCGCACCCGGCTGCCCAGGGCAGCATCTGAAGACCAAAACGGGGCGTCAAAATAGCTGACAGATAACGACGGATAATATGACATCTAAAGAGGTGTTTTCTCAGGGTACAACTCGCCTCTGCACAAACAAAATTAAGAGCTTGCTGGAAGTCCCACTTGTTATATAGGAAATGAAGAAAGAGACCATTTTGTGAAATTTTAAATGATAAATAAAACCCAACTGGCTTCAGGCAGCAGCACACAATCCTCCGGGCACTGCTGGGGTGTGGCTCTGGGGACCCTTGGCACTGCCCGGGGGGGTCACATATCACCCAGAACCATAGCAGCGGCCTCAGGTCCCACCACTGAACCCCGCCTCGAGTGCCAAGAAGGGCTGGGAATGGCCCTGACCCTCCTGAGCACCACAAAATAAATAAAGTATGCAAATTAAAATAAATGTACTTTTTGTTCTATTAAAACTGTTTAGTATATATCCGATATTTGATACTCTGCACCGGAACTGTTTATTGAGAATCAAAAAATTTCTGGAGAGTCAAAGTACTGAAAACTTTAAAAGAAGGAAACATTTCTAAAAGGATTTGAAAATGAAGAGAGGAACACATCTAAACTGCTTCTAGGGTCGCTTTTCTTTTGGGGGAAATGGAACGCTGCCTTGGACAGAACAGCTAAACAGCTGGCCCTTAAGCCACGCATAGGGAGATTTGATGAGTGAGACCCTCTACTTTAACTCAGAGAAAATTTGCAGTTTGGGGTTCTTAGAGATTCTGCAAATATTTGTTTTCCCCCCTCTTTTCATTCACGATACTCTCACTATGACAGAAGTTGACTCTGTTCCTTAAGGTTCAAATAAAACCACTCTGCTTAACTGTTTATAATGGGGGGGGGGGGGGTCGCTGGGATGACAGTACAGTGTGGGGGGCGTTTGCCTTGAATGAGGCTGCCCGGGCTTCAATCCCGGCACCCCACACTCTCCCCCTGTGCCCCGCTAGGAGTGACCCCTGAGCGCAGAGCCAGCAGTAAACCCTGAACACCACCAGGTGTGGCCGACCCCCCCTGAAAAAATCCTGCCCTCCCTGAAACACACACACACACACACACACACACACACACACACACACACACACACACAAATGCTTGCTGCAAAACTGATGGATCTACAAAGAAGTAGGCCCTGCCTGGCCAAACTCGAGCCTTGACGAGCAAACGGCAGTACGGGCCCCTCCGACATCGGACGGGAGCCTGGAAACGGGGCCGGGCCCCGGCAGCCGTGCGAGACGGTCGTGGCGGGGGGTGACGTCGGGGAGCAGCCCCCCAGAAACGAAGGAAGGAAGGAAAGGGAGCTGGAGCAGGACTCCTGGTAGAGCGGCTCTCCGAAGGGCCACTTTTCCAAGAGCTCGTTAATACGACTCAAGTTTGGAAAGGGTTTCCCTGAGACAAATCCTGGCTTATTGCACCATCGGTATCAAATCCTGATTTATTCGGTTTCAACCTATGCCATATCAACTTTAATTTTCAAGCCTTCCTTCAGGCAATAATTTATTAAACTTATAATAATGAGACTCAACCTATATAAATCAGGCTATTCTAATGAAAGTCCCACTGCAAGGGAGGCACTTTGAGCTCATTGCATACTTTTTTCTAATCCAATAAGATTCCATTATGACAAAATAAAGGAGCTACTTCCCTGGCACTGCACTCCAGCCAACGCTGGCTATTTCTGTTCGAGAAAATACCTTCCTCATAACGAAAATTTTATTAACATATTTCAAATCCGAAACACTTTGCCAAATCTATAATAGCCAAGATTCAGAAAAGAAATTGGGAGTGACATTTTAACTAGAATATCACTAAACGTTTCTTTAAGACTTCTAAGTGTCAAAATGAAGATGACAACAGAAAAAAAACTTCAAATGTGAGATGTTTCAATGGCGCCGTCGAAAGGCGGCTGGCTGCCATTTCCAACTGAGCCGAACGAAGTTTCTCCTTCCGACCAGCGGATGAGGATCTGCGAACGGCGAATTCAGGTCGCTCCTGCTAACATCAGGGACGGGAACGCAGCGGGCGGCAAGCGTCTCCCCAGGGAACCTCAAAAGCCAACTTCGGGGGCTTCCTCCTGGGAGTGACCGTCAGCTGGCATCTCTCGGGCACCAGGATGCAGGGAGGACAGTGGACCCCTCTGCTGCCCCCACGCCGGGGCCCGGCCCCCTGCCCAGAAAGTCACTCGGTAGGAGGGACAGTATTTCCAGCGGGTGCCCAGAATACGGACATGCCTGAACTTCACCGAGGTCTATGGTCTATTTGCAGTTCTTTTCGGGGTGCAGATTTGCACGTTAACAGCAAATTTCTGAGGAGGGTTCCCACCACCAAAGAGCCACATGGGAAGCCCGGGGTGCCCGCACGCCCCTCGGGAACACAAGTGATAGACAGCTACACCCAGCCCCGCTGCAGGCCGGGCCGGGCCGTAAGCCTCCCGGGGTGCTGCAGTGAGCAGGGCCAGCGGGAGATGCCACCCCACAGCCATGCCCCGACCGCGACTCAGGCCATCCTCCTGGGGAGCAGCAGCTCGGCTGTCTCCCCAGCAGTGAGCAATGCTGGCTGGGCCGCGTCCCCCCGGAGACAGGCTCGGCACGCGCTAGCGGGTGAGGCAGAGTCTGCGCTTCCCTTCGCACCTGCAGCGCTCGGAGAAGCTGCCGCCCGTGCAGCAGGCAGGAGGAGATTCCTCCCCAGAATACTGTACCTGCTTGAAAAACCCAATTTCCCAACAGCCCCCGAATGTTTCAAGCGGCTCAGACGTGGTTCAGATGACGAAACTGGGTAAAATCAAATACTCGTAGGTTTGTACGTAATGGACCGTTTCAGTTTTTGACGTTACACGGCTCCGAGAATCAAAGAGTCGCAGGGGTGGGAGGGTCAGTCCGGAGTATGCCCCAGAGGCCAGCGAGAGGCTGGGGGTCACGGTGCCTGGCGAGGGAACCCAAGTATGATTCTGAGTCCCGCATGGCCTGGGAGGCTCCCAGGACGCTGGACCTGAGAAGTATCCAGCATTAGGTACCAGAGTCAACTGTCCGGTCCAGGGGGCCAAGGACCACCTGGAGTGGCCCCAGGCCTCCTGAGTACTACTTGGAAGGGCAAAAATAAGAACAACAATTCAAAACTAATCCAAAGATCGTAATGACAAATGCGATGAACCGGCTCAGAAGGCAGAGAGCAGACGTGGGGGGGGGGGGGGGGGGGCCCGAGTCACAGGCGGTGGGCTCGCAGGGCTGGGACCCAGGCTTGGCATGCACAGGGCCCAGGTTCAATTCCCATCACCGTATAGAACTGCCAAGAGTAATCCCCGAGCACAGAGCCTGGAGTAGCCCCTGAGCACTGTCAGGTGAGGCCCCCAATATTATTTAATTACAAAGAAGTTAGAGATAGCAAGAACCACGGCAAAAGAAAGTCTTCAACAGATTAAAACAGGCTTTTAGGAGCAGTACGAAGAGAACACGCTAGAAAAATACTCCCAAATAACGTGAAACCAAGTTAGGAAGATAAAATAGACACATGAAAACTAGTGGCATCAGAAGGATCTTCGCAGGCGAAATTTTTTAAAAATGAACATAAAGTATGTCCTGTAGCAGTTTAAAGGGATTCAGAAAAGAAAGACGTCAGGGGAAAAAACAAGCAAACACCAGTTCTTAGAGTCTCTGTTCGAGAGGAGAGAAAAGTCAATAATATTGTTTTGTTTATGGCGTTCTTCCAGAATCACACAACAGGCAGTCCTGAAAATGTTACAGAAATATTAAATGCAAAAGAGAAAGCAACTGAATATTTATCACTGTCTTAATAAGCGAGAGGAGGGGATGGAGGCGAGGGGAGCAGCCCCAGCGGGAGAGAGAGGCGCGGGGCCGGGAGTCAGGAGAGCCACTCCGGACGAGCCTGCCCCATAATCATGCAAAATGGGTGATAACAGAAGCGAAGTGACACCAAATAGCCACTGAAATACTTAGAATTGCGAGAAAGAGGGGCTGGAACGATAGCACAGCGGGGAGGGCGTTTGCCTTGCATGCAGCCGACCTGGGTTCGATCCCCGGCATCCCAGAGGGTCCCCCGAGCACCACCAGGAGTGATTCCTGAGTGCAGAGCCAGGAGGAGCCCCTGAGCATCACCGGGTGACCCAAAATAGAGAATTACCGTATTCCTAAAGTAAAACACACCCAGAGCAGCTCGGGCCAGGGCTGGGGCCTGTTTTGCGAGCTGGAGCCTGGGGGGTGGTGTCCACTTTCCCGAGGGCAGGAATGGCCGTGCGGGGTCAGGGGTAACCCGAACCTCACTTGCTTTCTTCTCATCCGGGGCGGGCACTCTGTGAGGATCCCAAACAGAGCCTGATCTTTCCCACGTATTTTATTGTTTTAATTTGTCCTATCAAAGGCGTTAGATAATGTTCCATAATTCCATGCAAATGAACCCCCAGTTTAATAACGAAAATTTTTCATCCCTCTGATTTAGTGGCAAACTGAACATAGTCCATCACTGAGAAGAAAATCCCCAAATGAAAGAACGAAATGGCAGGGAACGGGCACCCCCACGTGCTCGCCCCCCTAAACTCAACAGCAGGCCGCATGCTGGGGACAACCGTCCTCTGTGACTGAAAGGCCACGCGAGCCCCACGGCCGCCCCATGCCCTCACAGGCTCTCTGCGTGAACGAGAACGGGAGGCCCTTTGACCAGGCGCTAACCACTCGACCACCCGGACCAAGCAAGGGCACCAGAGGAACCTCACTCTGAGGAACCAGAAAGCAAATGCGAGAGCAATGCCCTCAGAGCAGAGGTAAAAGCCCTCGCCGAAAGGGTGGCAAATCGGAAGGTCCGGTCTCATGCAGAAAGCAAGACGCACCATCACTAAATGCGTCATGTGTTGAAAACAGTTCCACACCCCAACAGCAGTCAGTACAATGGTCACAGCAACAGAGAAAGGAGACGTGAAAAAACATTTTTTCAGGAAATAAACAGGCAGACTGCCAACTGAGAGAACAAATTCACGATACATCTACGTGAAAAGAGGCCTGGTATCCCGAACCCCTCTCACTGCTCAATTCTAAAAAGCAAAATCCCCTCGATTTTGGGGGGGGGGGGGGTTTAGGGGGGCGGCCAGGGCTGTCGGGCCCCGTGGAAAGGTGTCGGGGCAGGGATGTGTTAGTGCCAAGAGCCACACAGTGCCCCGGCCCTGCACCCAGGAAGGTCTGGGCCTGCCCCCAGGCCTGGCACCCACAGCGGTTAATAACAAGCACTCAAGTCAGTCACCACTTAAACGGGACATGGTGACACTCTCAGGACCACGGCTCACAAACCCGCCCACCCAGACCCCCACACGGCGAGCCCAGTGTGGAGTGGCCGCTCACCGTGACCGGAGAAGGGGCCACACAGTGTGACAACCCCGGAAATCTGGCGCTTGCTTAAAATACATCTTTCCTATAAACCCGCAATTCTACTTCAAGGTGTTTATCCAAGAGGGATAAAAAACCTCTATAAATGGAAGCTCTCTTCAGAATCGCCCCCAAACTGGAAAAACTCCCAGTGTCTGTCAACAAGCAGCTAGGAAAACAAGCCCTAGCTGAGAGGGACTAGGACTCAGTGACAAGCACGAACGCGCGACAGAGACACCGACAATAGACGGGGACCTTGAGAACATGCAGCGGGCCGGGCCGGCGGGGAGGGCGCCTGCCTCGCACGAGGCCGGCCCGGAGGGGGGGGGGGGCCTCCATCCCCGGCCCCCCTTAGGGTCCGCTGAGCCCCACCGGGAGCGACTCCCGAGCGCAGAGCCAGGAGAGAGCCCTGAGCACCGCCAGGTGCGGCCCCCGAACAGACGAAAGGCAAGAAAGACATTTCTGAGCCTGAGCCACCAGAAATGAAGCCCATCCTCACACATGCAGGGACGCGCTCGGGCAGAAACGCCTGACCCTCAGCAGGGGGGATCGCAGACAAGTGGTCGCCTCCCCCGGGGGCAAGAAGCCGGGTCTGGGCAGGGAAGGACCAAGGACCCGTGGGGACGACAGAAGCCTTCTCCATTCTATAGAGATGGGGTTACACTTGTCTGCATCTGACAAGTCGACGAATTATTTAGGATCTCTCTGTTTCCTTGTACAAATGACGCTTCAATTAAAAAAGGTTTGTCTTTTTTTTTTTTTTTGCTTTTTGCTTTTTGGGTCACACCCGGCGATGCTCAGGGGTTACTCCTAGCTTTGCACTCAGGAATGACTCCTGGCAGTGTTCAGGGGACCATATGGAATGCTGGGAATTGAACCCAGGTCTGCCGTGTGCAAGGCAAACGCCCTACGTGCAGTGCTATCACTCCAGCCCCAAGGTTTGTCTTTTTTAACCAGGAAAACAATTTGGATCCAAGAGCGTGAACTTATCTTCCTTTTCCTTTGTGTGTCCCCACCCCCCCGTCCCCCCTTTTCATTTTTTGTGTTTGGGTCAGACCCAGAGGTGCTCCGGGCTTACTGCTGGCTCTGTGCGCGATCAGGTTCTGTGTGTGCAGTGCCGCAGAGGTCAGCCAGAAGCAAGGCCAGTGCCCTAGTCCCTGAGACTTAACCCTTAAATGGTCCAAGCTAGTCCTTTTCGGCGGGAGTCAAAACAAAACAAAAGACCCTAGGGTAATTCCAACCCAAGAGCTCTAGCCTTACAAGGGAAAAGGGCAAGAAACGGAGTTACGTGGGGATGTGTCCAAGCGACAGAGCCTGTCACATAAGTCAGCAGAAACATTTCTATACACTTATCAAAGAACACAGGCAGAAGAGCTAAAAGTCCCGGTAAGCAAAAGAGGCATAATATGACCCCAAAAATAGCAAATCACAACTAAAATAAATCAAGCTAACTAGTCAGAGCAGACTGATAATCAATTCCTTACTGATTTCTACAACAGGATGGCAAAATTGTGGAAAATGATCACCGTCCAATAAATAATGTCATGCAATGGAAGAGAAAGGGAAGAAAAGTTAAGTCACCCCCGGCCTCCAAAAAATTTGACCCCTGGAAGTTTTTAGAAACAAATTCAAACTAAAAAAACAACAACAACAACAAAATTACACTGAATTAGTGTAGCGCTACGGAATATGAAAAGCATCTCACTGAGTATAAATATAGCTGAAATAAAAAGAATGAGCTGAATATTTTTATTCCACATCTGCATACCACTGTGCTTTCATTCATTTTCCCCTAAATACCAGTGCTCTCTAATTCAAACGAGAGGAGAGGGACTTTTTGAACTCAAGTTATTTAAAACTATAAAGCTACTTTTGTATCTCATTAAATATTTATGAAACATTATTAAAAATGTAATACCTATGGTTTCATTAATTCTAGTTAACAAAAAAGATGTTCTGCAAAATAAATATGATACTAAATCAACAGAAAAGAAAAAAATCAGCAGAAATATTTCCTTACCACTTTTACCACACAGGGTGCGTCACTGCCGACAGATTTTGAAGAATTCATATCAGCTGTGGAAAAAAAGACACAATATCAGGATGATATTAGCAGCACAAGCAGCCCATCCCAGCCCTCTGCTCACCGTGACGGCAGCACGGCTATTGAACTTCGATGCAGCAGGGCCCAGACGCAGCTCACGAGAGCATTACAGAGGAGAACATTAATATTTTTTTTTCATATTTTAACATATCTGCAACCTCCTAATCACTAAGACCATGGTCATAATCACGAATTAAGAACGGCAAACTACGACTTAAGGGTTTTGAATTCAAATGTGGACGTGGGCTCTTGGCAGCTCATGATGTCATCAATTCCCAGGAAGATGCTCACTGGGGCAACACACTCAGTTCCCTGGGCCCGGGGTCTTCCCTGGGGTGTGGCAGCAGTGCCCGGAGACCACCTGCTGGGGCTGCGCTGGATGGACTATAGCCCCACAACTGCCACGCTTACTAGGAGGGGACACCAGCAGGCGGAGAAGAGGGAGTGTAGGTGGGCAGGTCAGGGCGGCTGACGCGAATCAGTCATCTGGGCTGTTGGCACAGGAACTGCACCTGCCTTAGAGAATCGTTTTAACGTGGCGGCCATTTGATCTCACGTGCACCTACGAAGGAGCACCGTGTCCCTGTCTATGGAGCTCTCTATGTTCTCTCTGTTGAAGTCACTCTGGCAAGGGCAAGCACGCAGAGGGCTGAGGCCCAGGCTGGCATCCTGTGGAAGGCTCGGCCTCCACACCGGCAGCAGAGCCTGAGCAGTAAGACAGCGGGGAGGGTGTGTGCACACGGCTGACCCAGGTTCCGTCCGGGGCATCCCATGGGGTCCCCCAACCACTGCTGGAGCGACCCCTGAGCGCAGAGCCAGCTGTAGGTCCTGAGCACCACACCGGGCAAGGAGTGGGCCCTGAGCACTGATGGCGAAGGCCAAAAAATCTAGGGAAAATATTTTGTGCAAGTTCCTAGGAAACGAACTAACCGATGAGCAGGGAGAACTCATCCCTGATCTCAGACAGCTGGCCTTTCAGACCACAATCACTCACAGGAAGCACGATGATCAGTAACACCAAACAGCGTGGCATCATGGGGGGAGAACCCCCCCCCCCCAGATGCTGCCCACACCCTGTCCAAAGGCGCAAGAGAATGAGTGAGTCTGTGACAGTCCGCGGAAGGCCCCTCCGGGGAGAATCGCACACCGGCCGGGCCGTGGGGCCCTCTGCAGGGCAGGAAGGACAGCGAGGAAGGGGAAGAAGAGAGGACGGGCCCGAAGGCAGGAGGAACACGAGTGCCAGCCCTGACGGGCCACGTGATGCTACTGGTGCGTGGGCTCTGAGTTTGGGAGACAGGCCGAGGCTCCTTTGGGAAGAACGGTGCACTGGGGACATGGTGGGACACAGGAAGAAGGACGGGCTTTCATCCAAGCGACAAGGGGGTCGGACTGGAGACGAGATTCAGAGAACCAGCAGTATCTGCTGGCAAACGGGATCCGGGGGTGAGAGGAGCCACGGGAAACCCGAGGACTCAACCAGAGCTCAAGCTGCTACCTGCTCGCCCCGAGACAGGTGAGGGAGAAGTGGGTGCTGTGAGTGGGTACTCCACCCTGGGGGGCTTGCTGAGTATCAAAGTCTGGGTATTAAGCAGGCAGCTAACATGTGAAAACCTTGGGTTCTGAAGAATGGTCCGGGCTGGAGAAATTAAGCAGTTCCTCATTTAAAGCCATGAGAGTGGTAAGTCCCCTTGGGAATTTGTGCGGAGGGGCAAGAAGGGACGGAGCCCAGAGGCACTGTCATGCCCGCTGAATGGATGAAGAGGGGCCGGCTTGGGGCCAAGGGTCGCTGATTCGTGGAGAAGCGCTGCAAAGAGCTGCAGTGAAAATGTTTCGGACCAAAGAAGGAACCCCAAGTCATAAAACTGGCTGAGTCTGGTACAAGAAGAGGGCCGAGTTCCTTACGGAGCAGCCCCAAGGAGCGTCACTTAGGCGCTAAATTAGTAATAAAGCGAGGCCAGGTTTTTTCAAGTAAGCATTTACTGTATGAAATATTCAAAGGAGTACAGTACCTGTACCAATACTGCACAATGCACAAGAGGCTGTGGGCTCGGAAGAAGGTCAGTAACTCACTGAACAATGTATAGAGCAAAACCGTAAAGCATTAGAAATGAACAGAAAAGCTCTCATCAAGATGCACGGCCTGTTCCGGGAGGAAAGGAAGTTCAGCGCCGCGTGGGAAGTGTTAGCGAAGAGTTAACCCAAGGGGACTGGAGGGAGGGGAAAGCCCGACACTCAGCTGAGGGACAACGAAGCCAAAAAGGCATCATCTCCCGGGGTCCCCACGAGGCAGGGGGGCAGCCGAGCGAGCGGAGATCCCGACAGACGAAACGGACGAAGATGAAAGAGACCAGACTCCAGAAGGGTCCTGTCTCCCATCCTCCAAAGTTCGGCATTTGATCCTGCAGGCACCGGCGATCAAGTAAGACGTGCGAGCGGGCATGTCCTCTGCTGCCACAGCGAGGGGACTCCAGTCACGCGGCAATAGGGGAGAGGGCGGGGGCACGAAGCAGAGAAGAGGATGCAGTGCAACAGTGAGCCTCCACAGAGAACACGACGTCCACAGGGACAGAGAGAGGCGTAACGGATCGGCGAGTGCCCGCGGTGACAGCCAGGCCCAAAGGAGGCAGCCGGGAGGAGCGGCGGGAATGCAGGGCTTTCCGGGCTGCCTTGAGGAGCATCACCCACGGTGGCGCCCTTCCCGTGCTCAGCATCCAAGGATGCAGGCGGATGCTGTGAGTGGAGGATGCTGGACGGTGCCGTGGACCAGCTGCGCAGAGGCACCTGAGGGCCACTGACGTGGGTCTGGACCCGGGAGGTCATACCCCAGACTACTGATAAAATCGACGGAAATCAGGAATAAGGAGGCAAGCAAGGAAATCCCAAGGCTCAGAGAGAACACGCAGAACGAGGAGTCGAGGGAAGCAGCTGGGAACGCAGAAGTCCTCCAAGGGCGACCAAAACGCCTCTGGGGAGAGAGGAGAAAAGCCAGGCAAGAAGGGATGCTATGGAAGGCACCGGAAGTGATTCCCATGAAAAGAAAGGCAGAGGTATTCAAACGCTACAGAAACTAGCCGGAGAAAATACAAAAGCAGTCCTTTCAATTCCCTGGCAGAAACTGCTGATGAACCTGAGTAACAGACTGACCACGGCAAGTTCACAGAAGCAAAGTCTTAGCACAGAAATCTGTCCAATCATTAGGCACGAAAAAAGTTTATGCTAGACAGTACTTCTGGTGATAAATGCATATAAAAACAAACAAATACAGCTGACTCACGGGGAAGGCAAGTTCCAAATTTGCCCAAGGTTGCCAAAGCAAATGACACCTGGTTGTTTCGATCACCTTCTCGTTCCTAATATGGGCATATCACAAAGTCACCCACCCTGTGGTGGTTTCTGCTATCCACTACCATGGAGTCACGAGATCAACAAAATACACGGTTGGCAACTACAGCAACTGACTGAGCCCACGCAGTTTCCTCTTCGGTGGGATCCAGTCTGGGTCACTGAACTGAGGCGGCCTCTGGCAAAACCTCAACTGCTATTTCCCAGAGGCAGACAGGTGGAGGGGAGGAGAGCAGTGGCCCTCCGCAGCTGACCAGCTGGAGCCCAGGGTCCGGGCCCCAGAGCGGCCGTGCTTTGCCTGTGCAGCAGTTCTCACGCCCACTGGATCAGAACCATTCTGGGCCTCACACTGCACTTCCTGAGCGGGAACCTGGCAAGGGCCACGGGTGGGAATCCCATGCTCATGCTCCGCTGTGGTTCTAGACTTCTGAAAACCATGGTGCCACCGAGGAAAAAAAACGGGATTCCACTTCTGAAAACAAACTCCATAAATCTCCACGGGAGAAATTAAACAATTAGATAATTATCTAACTAAAGACTAGAGGTGGTGCAAGAACGTAGAATGGAAAATTTAAGAACAGCAAAGGCAAAGATGAAACAGACTGCATCACTATAATCTCAATGAAGAACACAGCTTTAGAAGCAACGAGAAAAAGTGTCTTTTAAATCAGCACTACAATTAACGTACAGAATCTCAGGGTTCTACACCGGCTCATCCAAACTTCAAGATATGAAGCCCAACAGCACATTAACCACACCTAACGTGCAGTGTCTACATCAGTTTCCCGATTCGACTGTACTACTCGGGTTTTACATTTAGGGCTCCCCTTTCCTCCGCCCACCCCACCCCCAAAATCTACATCTGTTAAAAGATTTGAAAATCTCCAAAATAAAACAAAAAATGCAAAGAACAAATCAGAATTTGGTGACAATGAAAAAAGAAAGATGTACATGAATTTCTTTAGAACTCAAAAAAGATGGAGACAATTTTACGCAGAATATATTTTAAATGTAGGGCTACGTGTATTTACTGTAGCACTGTCGTCCCACTGTTCATCGACTTGCTTGAGCGGGCACCAGTAACGTCTCCATTGTGAGACTTGTTGTTACTGTGTTTGGCATATCGAATACGCCACGGGGAGCTTGCCAGGTTCTGCCGTGCAGGCAGGATACTCTCGGTAGCTTGCCAGGCTCTCCAAGAGGGGGAGGAGTCGAACCCGGGTCAGCCACGTGCATGGCAAACACCCTACCCTCCCTGCTATTGCTCCAGCCCGGTATATATATATATATATAAAATATGAATATAGTTTCAGCAGTTAATTTAGTCTCCTTAAAAACAAAATTCCAGAATCAGATGACTTTAGAAAACTTTCAAATCACTAATACCCATTATTTTTTTACATATATTGATTGATTTTATTCTGTGTGAATTATATGTCAAATAAAAGAAGTTTTAATTTGTAAAAGAAAAAAACATATATAAATATAGTTTCCTGCCTGTTTCCATTTGAACTTTTTTTCCTTTTTTTTTTTTGAGGGGGGGTGATCACACTCGGTGATGCTCAGGGGTTACTCCTGGCTCATGCACCGAGGAATTACCCCTGGTGGTGCTCGGGGGACCAGATGGGATGCTGGGAATCGAACCCAGGTCATCTGCGTGCAAGGCAAACGTCCTACCCGCTGTGCTATTAATAACAATAGTTGACTATCTGATCCTTTTTCTATAATAGTGCGGTAAATCTCTGCCACTCGCATGATGCATTTTTACCTGATCATATGATATTAAATTGACTGAAACTAGGAACAGCAATAAAATACAGAAGCAATGGTGCTGAAACTTCTGACAAAGGGTTCGACCTGCTGGCGTGCCCGCTACGCGCGGTGCCCTTACCCAGGTAGATGCACCCGAAGCCGCCCTGGCCGATGGGCGGGCCCAGTTTCCATTCCTTTTTCGTCATGTCGGTGATTATCTCTCCCGCGGCAAAGTGCTCTGCAAGTTGCCTCTTGGCAGGCCCTTGTCTTCCGCCTTGAGCTGCCTTCACGCGCGGCATTTTCTCTGCAACATTAAAGGAAGAATCACTCAAAAAAGGATCACAGTCAAGGTGCTCGGGACATTCTTCACCAAGGAAAAAAAAACTGGTGCAACAAAGATGTCGCTGGGAGTCCTGTTAAGGGCCATGCACGAGTTCTGATGATGATAACTCAGATCCCAGCGGATGATGGAAACTCTAGAGAGGAAAAATCTCTGCAACTGCCGGCTGGCAAATGCTCTGTCCCGGGGGCAGGCTTCGGGGAAGGGGACACCCACGCACACGCGACAGACGAGCTCAGGCCACGTCTGCGGATGCTCAGCCCCATCAGGGCTCTCTGCAGACTGACCGATGGGGCGGCAGGGTGAGTGGGCAGGACTTACTGCAAGGGGAGAGCTGAGATCTGCGCCGAGGACTTGTCCCCAAGGCCTCACGGACACGGGCCCCGCGGCAGAGTCACTCTAGTGAAGAGACAGACCTGCAGAAAGAGGAGCGGGAGAGAGGGGGGCTGTGTGGGCCTCCGGGTCACCGAGAAGGCCAGGCTGACGCCCACTTCCCTTGGCTTCCCTCCCCGTCAGCCGTCCTTCCAGAGACGAATCGCAACAGTGAACGGCAACATCCCGTGGAGTGGCGTGTTAGAGGCCGGAAAGAACAGTGGCCTAGAGTCAGAAGCCCCGGTGGGCTGCGGGTCCCACACTGAGCCCGGGGCTGCTCGGGGGTCTCTCTGCTCGGCTTTCGGGCTCTCAGAGGAACGAGCTTCCGTGGGGGACAGGGCTCGAGACAGCGGTGGCGGCAAACTCAGTTCTTCAACCACGAACCGAGAGACTTCAAAGAAATGCCTGCAAGGACTCCATGGCTCCCCAAATGAAGATAAATAAATATCTAAATTTAAAAACTGATAGCAGGGGCTGGAGTGATAGCACAGCAGGGAGGGCGTGTTTGCCTTGCATGCGGCCGACCCGGGTTTGATTCCCAGAATCCCATAGGGTCCCCTGAGCACCACCAGGGGTAATTCCTGAGTGTAGAGCCAGAAGAAGTAACCCCTGTGCATCGCTGGGTGTGAACAAAAAAAAAAAAAAAACACTGATAGCAGTAAACAATTACTTGCAAAACTGAGATTTACCAAGGTTCCTAGGGGGACGAGGATACAGCAGAGATCTGTTCTGATAATGTGGACGTGGCGTCACTATTTCAAGAAGCGGGCACCCCACACACACACACACCCCACACACGACCATCCAGTTATCACACTGGGTGACACTCAGCCCAGGCCAGTGTGTGCTGAAAGTGGGAGACGGCAGGTAAGTAAGGGGGGTGGGGGGTGGAGAATCCTATCTGGCTTTGGGGCCCCACCTGCTGGTGTGCAGGGGTTGCTCCTGGCACTGTGGAGGGGCCGTGAGGGTCAGGAACGGGAGCCGGGCTTCCTGCAGGAGGGCACACACTCTGCTTTTTAACCCGCCAGTCCCACTACGGAACGGTTTAACCAGACCAGCCCCTCGGGGCCTGAAAAGTACAGGACATGGGAGGACACGGCAATTCAAGATGCAAGGCTTAAAAAGCTGTACGTGTAAATCTTTTAAATTCTGAAGGTATCTGATCCTTTACCCGCCCCCCGACACACACACACACACACACACACACATACACACACACACACGTATGTTCTAGTCCTATTCACACAGCACTGAGCATCCATGTCTTCTCCCCGATGTATTCTTGAAATACCACTTCCTACGAAAAGAAACCGGGTTCCAAACTGGCAGGTTTGAAGGCGGAAAGGCACCAGACAAGCTTGGAGCACCTTGTTGTTCCCAGACACCAAGGAAGCGAACGGAAACTACTAACACTAAGTTAGAGACGGCCAACGAGTTAGCCTGGAAGACGATGCCATCCCAGAGAGGGGGCAACTCTGAGTCAATACTAATGAACAACTCACGACCGTGGATTAAAATCCCAACGTGGGTGAGTCCAAGAGTTTACGGTTTTAGGAAAATATATGCGGTCGCCCCTGAATAGCAGAAAGCCAGCGGTTTTGAAACCCAGTGAACAAACATCTGTCCTTTCTCACTGGATTAGTGGGCAGCCGAGTAGAAGATGAAGAGGACCGTCTCCTCACAGGGAAATTTCAGCTAAGAGATGAGAATGGCGTAGGCCTTAAGCAAACACCATTTCCCACCTCCTAATGAATTAATGGGTGCAGACTTGTGACTGATAGCTATTAACGTACCCAGACATTATATTCCTCTGACAAAAGAGCACGCCGTTACCCGTGAAGCAGACCTGACAAAAAGAAAATACAAAATAAATACCCTGGATCTAATAAAATCCACCACTTCGCAGACTCAAAAGAGAACAAAACAACACGATAAACGGTAACACAAAAGTACAAACAGCAAGATTGTGACCACTGGGAAGCCTATTACGTGTATTTATGTAATTGCACTTCTTAAAAAAAAAAAGATACAAGGGGCTAAGAGTTAGGAGAGAAGAAAACTAAAATATATATGGAACTAAGGAACACTCCGGCAAGATTCCACTTATATGAAGTATAATAATAAAAACACCTCAGTGCATTCAGCAATGCGAAACCCATTAATGATGAGACAAGCAGCAGACACTGTTTAGGGAGGAGACGACGGGCAGGGGGAGGAGGAAGACCAGGGCCCTGGAATGTTCCAATCAGGGTGATATTTCAATGTTCATGACAGCAAAGTTTATCAAGGTTTAAGAAAAATTAACCAAGGTGCACATGTATGATTGCTTGCATTGCTTTACATAAAAGTAGCACAGTAAATGACACAATTCACCAGCCGGAGAGGCACGAGGGGCTTCAACAACAGGAAAAGCACCGCATGTCGGAGCTGGCACAGGACCATGGACAGGGCCCTCGGGGGGCGCTGACTGCATAAAGGGCAGAGGGCAGGAAGAGAGAAGGGGAAGGCAGCAGAGGGAGGAAGCCTCAGAGGCAAGGGGCTGCGCCCCCTCCCCGAGGGCCCCCCTCTACGGACCGCCCCCCTCCCCGAGGGGCCCCGCCCACACTGGCCAAGCCCAACTGCTGCTCACTGGAACCCCAGCCAAGATGGGGAAGCGGTGCTGAGAGCAGGACGCTGGCAGCTGGCCCTGTGTCGGCACGGACTGGTCAGTCTCTCCACACGGGCACACACAGGGGGGCCACCACTCTGGGCAGAGCTGCCCGTTTCTGCCAACACTCCCCGCTCTTTGTGGAGCTCTACAAAGTGCTCCTGACCTCCGCTCCCAGCAGTCTCCCAGCTCCAGAGAACGTGAAATTTAAGTTCCTCAATCTCCTTGGTTCCTTTCGAGGTGATTTCTGAAAGGACGGAGTATTCAAAACCAGAAATCCCCACTCAAAATCGTGCTGACACCAAGAGCCCTAAGCACGAGAGCCAGTAAGCCCGTGACACTTTTTGCAGAGCCCGACACGCGAATCCCAACCACCACGTCCCTTGGCACACCCGGGGTGGCCCAGAAAACGACAGGACACAGCCGCACTGAGGCTGCTAGCAGAGAAGGCGCTGGCAGGCACCGCGCTTGACAAGAGCATCCTTCCCTGCAATCCCTGCCCATCTGGAGCAGAGCAGAGCCACTAAGGTAGAAATCCAACAGAGGGGCTTCAAAGGGAAGAGAAAGAGACCCTCCCAGGCTTCATTATGTGCGACGTGACCACTTCCTTCCCACTGACAGGACGTGAAAGGCAGGCGCACGTGGCGGGCACGCCAAGATGCAGATCAAGATGCCCTTTGCGGAACGCGCTCCTGGAAGAGCCCAATTAGCATATTCCCCAAAATTGTAATTGTAAACAGAGTAATTATGGTACTAAAGTTATTAAATACACAAAGCAAGCTTGGAACTATACATATTCAAATAGAATTTCAGTGGCTGATCAACTTTTATGCCCGAAACAATACCCTAATTAATACTCAGCTCCGATCATAAAATGGTCTTCTGTTTTCCAGATAACATTCCAAAAAAAGTTCTGCTATGAATATTAACATAAAGTTTTGTGAATAGATTTTTAAAATTTCAATAGCTATATTTATCACAATCTGGTACTGTATTTAGACAACTGGCATTTTTCAAGTCCTAGATTCAACTGGGAATCGATTCTTTCAATCTGCCAAAGCGCTCCGCTACCTAGCGTGGGTCAAACCAGGCCGCGTCTCCGCAGGGACACTCTGGGCCACAGGCGCAGACTGGGCGGGGCGGGCGGGCTGGACTGGGGCCATGATACGCTGTGGGGCGCACCAGCGTGCTCCCCTAAAACTGCCACGCACCTCCAAGACTGGGGCTGGGGAGACCTTTTCTTTAAAGCCACAAGCCGCTCTGGTCTGTTCTCGAACCTTCTGGAGACCTGTGACTCCCAAGGCTGTTCTGAGCCCGCGGGAGGCCACCACTGCCCAGGGGGCCACCTGGGTACCTTGTCATCAGCCTCCCTGGTCTCCATGGCCCTTCTGGGCCCCAACACCAGGCTGTCGGCGTCAGGGATCTCAAAGGCGGACCCCGGGGCAGGCTTCTGCAAGGTCCCATGCTCCCTGAGAACAGACGCGCGCTGGAGAACGTGACACCCGTCGCCGTTGCAGGGGCCCCGCTGATGGCACCACTGTCTCCAGCGGTCACTGCGAATGCGCCATTCTCCCAGGAGACCCACCTCGCCCTGATCCGGAACAGACACACCGGGCCTGGCTGCAGGGAACAGAAGTCCGCGTGGGAACCCTCCTGCCCGCCTCCCCCACCCTCGGGCCTGCACCTTTCCTTGTCTTCTCTCACATCCCATGGCCCCTCTCAGGGCTGAGATGCCGGACACCCCTCGGCTGCTCTGCTCGCTCGGACCCGTCAACGGAGCTCTCCCCATTAGTGTGCTCTGGTCTGGGGGGCGGGATGGTTGGTTGGTTTGTGGAGGGGGGGAGGGAGAAGGGCTTTTCATTTTTTCTTTTTGGCAACGCCTGGTGATGCTCAGGGGTGACTTCTGGCTCTGCACCCAGGAATTACTTCTGGCGGTGCTCAGACGCCACGGGACCATCTGGGGTGCCAGAGATTGAACCCCAAACCCGGTTGGCCACATACAGGGCAAGTGCCCTCCCCGTGGCATTCTCTCTCCGGCCCTTCTGTTTAAAAACTAGTTTTTAAATATGCTCAGGGCTCACACGTTCACAGAAGGGTTTTGTTTGCTTGTTGGCGTTGTTTGGGGTTTTGGCTGGTTGGCCAGTTTTGGGTGACACCAGAGGTGTGTGGAGCTGACTTCTGAGCACTGAGATGGCTCCTGGCGTGCTGGGGGTCACAGGGAGTCAGACAGGGTCGGCAAGCACCTTCCCTACGGCTACGGCGATGCTACCGTCCAGGCCTGCCGGGTCCTTACACTCCCTCCATGGGCCCCTGCCTGCTCCTGTGCCATGCCGAGGGCAGTAACGGGACCCACGACCCCGCGCGGGACTCCCCTCCGCGCCCTTTCAGTCCGTGGCT